TAGTTATAAATTACGAAACAATTAAAAATCGTGAAAATTGCAGACAATTAGGAAATTATTTATTTTTTTGTATCATTCCAACTAATTGCAATTTTTGAAAAAAAATGTCTAGTCATCCTTTAGTAAAGTAAAGTCAGTCTAACATGTCAGAAAATTTGAAACATTTGCTTCAATTTGAACATATTATATGCCGAAAATCAACCCCAACAAAATTCCCATAAAGTCTAATATGATTAATGAAACTGAAACGAGAAAGCTAAAATTTGTCATACGTATTGGATGCTATTTTAACTCTTTCGCGTCCTAAACATACTAGTGAAATTCAGCTTGTTTGAATACATTACAATAAGAATTAATTTTGGAAATTAATCAAATCTTAGTGTCGCACAAATGTGACTGACGCGGTACTTAATGTGTTAGGAAAGTTACTGCGTTTTAGAAGGTGTCCGAATATTATTCTTACACATTGCTGACAATACATTTTCTTAAAAATGGATACATAGTTTGTGTGCCCGTATGTTTTGTGACAATTATGTATGATATAGTAATGTATAGATGTTATTGTTATCTATGTTTCAGAATCGAGTTTAATAGCTATTTCAGAAAACCTAGAAGTGAAACATCCCAAAACGGAATCAACCGTAAATTCCCCTGAAAATAGTGAAGTAGAAAAAAAGAACGTTCCTTCGAGTTCGAAGAGCCACCGCAAATCAAAATCCATATCCCAACCGGCAGGTGTTCAACGACTTTCCATGAAAAATGCATACGATATCGTCGAGCTGAGAACTGTTGCAAGCAAGGAGATGTTATCTAAAGACGAAGGGATAGTGGAGAATAAAGTTAAAGAGAAACCTCAAAAGGCACGTACGACGCAGGAGCTGAAAGATTTGTTCAAGTCCACGTTGTTAAGACGATACAGCATAGTATTGTTTTGTCAATGGTAAGTCCTTTAACATGTATTTTTTTCAATAAAAACAATTTATTTATTTATTCGTTGCTATAAAATTAATATTTTATTCTCGAATCAGTTGCCCCAACGACTGGAACGTACTTATTCGTGAAGTAGTAACTTTTGTTTCAAATAAAATGTAGAATAATAGAATGTTCGAAATAATTAAGCTCTATTTAGATAGAATTTGATAACCCTGTATGTAATTGGTTAATCTATCGCACGATATTTTACCACATTTAGTGATGATTCGTTACGAGATCAATTGCAAAGATTTAAATTGATTTCGTAGGGATATTTTTCTAAAGAACACTTGAAAAAATGTACTAAAAACAATTTAAGTCACATTATTCGATAATAAGAAATTAAATAACTCTGCGGATAAGCTATAGTTTTGTCCAGGAGCATACATTTAAAACAATAGTAAAATGCCGATTCTTGAAGTTTCTGTATGACTTTTCTCAACTTGAAGCTCAGTTTGAACTAATAGAGCTGTCCTGAATGTATTAAGGAACAATCGCTGTGGACTTATGAGTAATAGCATCCGAGTTTATATTTGAAATAGTCTAGTAAGACATCAAATTATATAGCTCATACAATTTACAATTAGGTTCATAATGTAATACCATTACATACTGTATACTATTTATATCGTATTATTCTTAAACATGTATCTATCGATATGTTATTTTTCTGTTTCTCAAAGGTTAACGTCTTCCATATCATGTTGCGTGTTCATGACACTGGCACCAAATTTTTCTATCAACCGGCACATCACATTTGCGCTTGGCGGAGCATTAGAAATTGCGACCTACGTGTTCGTCTACTTTGTATTATCTAGATACGGTAGACGAGGACCAATGTCTATATATCAGTCTCTCAACGGCGTTATTTGCATTTTACTGGCTGCTATGATCATTTTGGCAAAACCTGTGATTGAAGTCGGTATGTACTCGATATAACAAGCGATGTTTTGTAGATCTGAAATAAAAAACAAATATCTGTGAAGTAGTATATTGTGATTGTTGTAAAATTCCATTGGATTTGTAACGCACTGTCGGCCAATTGTTGGCGACTTGGTCGACGAGTTACCAAACATTAGGCGGCTTGGTCACCAAGTGACCAAAAATTAGGTAATTTGGTCGGCAACTGGCTAAAAATTAGGTGGTTTGGTCGCCGTGTGATCAAAAATTAAGCAACTTGATCGCAGAGTGGCCAAAACTTGGGCGAATTGATATTTACACAGTGATTTATTATTATTGATTGATATAATTTGAATCATATTTCTAGAAACGAATACAGTAATTTCTCCCTAATTCGCGCTCAGATTGCGCACAAAAATGGACAATTTGGGAAGAGGAGGTACGATTATTCGAGCCTTGCCCAAATTGTCCATTTTTGTACACAATCTAAGCGCGAATTAGGAAGAAATTACTGTACGTCTGTTTTTCGAGTCTCACGATTATATTGCATTCTATGTTTTCACTTTCAGACCTCACGAAGACCATTATACTCTCACTTGGCAGAGTAACAGTGATGAGTACGATTTGCATAGCATATTTATATACAATTGAGATCTACCCGACCGTTGTACGAGGGACCTGTTTGGGTTTGTGCACCATTGTCGCAAAAATCGGTAGTTTGTGCACACCACATGTATTGTTAACGGTAAGATTTGCATGTCTGTAATTTATAAAATTCACTTCGCGTAAGATGCAAAATTACATCTCAAAACTAACAATACAGTTTGTTTAGTACTGTTAGTAGTACTGTTAATCGGGGATTGAAAAGGTTCCGAAAATAACTGTTCCAAACTGTTATACATATATCGGTTCTGCCTGAAACAGTTATATTAATTTTTTTGCTTAATAATTTGAATAGGTTGATAGCAATGCAACAGCATTTTGAAACTCCTCGAATGTGTTCATAGTTTTGCATTTCGTTTCCTGATTTTTCTCATAAATGCATAAAATCCGCGATCTAATAATAAGGTATACTTATCGGTTCAGACTTATATATCAGTTTCGGCTTTTCAAATAACCAATTGCGGTTGTAATTCTATTTTATGCCATAAATACATCGCATTTCCTTTAGGTATTGAAAGTATGTGTCCTACGTTTACGTCAAAGATACGCGTACGATATGATCACATTTTTTTCTAATACTTCGTATTGCAGGCACGCGACAGCTACGGCCACTGTGCATTTTTTCAGAACTTCTGCAACAAAGAACCGGAAAATAACTGTTATAGAACTATATAAACAATATCGGTTCTGAAGAACCAAAACCGATACAAGCCAGAATCGATATGCCTTATAACAATTACGAGACTTTTTCGGTTCTCCATAACTGTTTCAAGAAACGAAACCGATATCATAACTGTTTTCAACCCCTGGTTACAGTAACTGATGAGGTGATCCTCGCAGGAGGTCTGTCGCGCTCGGATTACATTCGGATGAAAATGCCGCAGAACGGGATGCCTCGGATAACCGAGGGTAGATGGAACCTTTATACCGGTTAAAGAGTTGGAACGCATCGTATGATCATTTTATTGAACTAGGGTGATCACTGGTCACTAGCCGCTGGTCACAAACTTCTGAACAATGCTTCAGACGTAATTTCCACCGATTTCGATTAATTTAAATTGGATAATAGGCTTATACTTCTAATAAACGTAGCTGTAATTATAACCACAAACGGCCAGCCAAAGAAACAAATTGGTGCATTAAAAGTGTCCCATTTTCTTTTAACATTGTTTAAACATCTTTGAATGTTTATGTTCGTTTATTTAGATAAACAGGAGATATACAAATGAAATATATCAACAAAAGTAACTATTTAAGCACGCGAAATTAAAAAATTACATATTACGCCACGGATTTACACTGCGACCTAAGACATGATCAAAGGAAATGTCAAGATATTCGTTTATATTTTTAAGTATATTTTAAATATTTATAATTAATAAATCAAATGCTGATTGCAATTTTTGTTTCAGGGTGAATACGTTTCTGTAACCATTCCGTTAATTGTCATCGGAATGCTCTGTTTAGTATCTGGAGGTCTTGCTTTAATTCTGCCAGAAACTGTGAACACCGTTTTACCAGATACAGTAGAAGATTCAGAATTGTTATCGGTAAAGACGAGGGAGAAGAGGAATAACGAGATTATAAATAATGAAAATTTGTTGAAGGAGGATGATTTATTAGAAAGAGAAGTACTTCGAACAAAACTTTTTTCGGAAGATTGGGTAGATGCCGGAAATGGTATATTAGTTAATTTTACAGATAACAAACCTACTGAGTAATAGAATTAAATACATATAGAAGGATTAATTAAAAATGTTAAGTTTAATTTAATACGAGGATTACGTTTCTATCGATATTAATATTGATAAAATTTCTATCAGTTGTAATAAATAATTAATATTAATTTTATAAGCGATCAGCATCGTTGATGATTTATGAAATAGTAAAAGATGTAAATGTTGTTGAATTACAATATTCAGAACGAGACAAATTGTAAATTGATGTCAATAACAAACGGCAAATATATTTAAAGTCCAACTGAATAATATATATTTCCCAAGAATACAAAATAACAGATATTTGAAACATTTTAGTGAAAAAATTTATCATTCAATTTGAAGTTAGTAATTGCGAAATATAAAAAAGATTCCAAAAACTACATGATTAAAGGTTTACAATTTTTGGTTAAAATTAACCGAAAATTCTTCGGTTACTTATAATAATTTTTAACAAATAGAATTTATTCCAGTTATTCATAACAGTCTCTCTCTCATCGGTGATGCAAACTTTACTTCGACAACCAATAACCGTTATCAATAAAAGAAATTGTATTTCAAATGAACATTGTTCATTTTACTTGTTTTGATGAATAGATTTACCCCCTGAAGGGTTGATACATACATTTATGAAACACCTTGTATAATGCAATATGTGTTCGAAATATAATTTCTCTCATTTGCAACTGTTACGAGTGATTGAAATAGAATTTCCCTCTCTGATAACTAACCGAAATCAATTTTTCTCATCGCTACTGTTATAAACAATCGGAATAGAGTTTTTTTTCATAATTAACCCTCGCTGGTTGGACGTTCACACGAAGTCTCATGATAGACATTTGAACTGAAATTTTGTTGTTATTATCGTCATTATTATTATTACTATTATTTTAATGTACTTTGTTTTCAATTTCTAAGAAGAGTTGTACTAATCATATAATTGAATAATAGAAGAATATAAAAAATAACATCAAGTGTCAGACGGACAAAGCAGAACCAAAGCAGCTTTGGGTCCGAAAATACCCTGGCGTAGTATGGCGAGGGTTAACTTAAACAATTTTTCCCTCATGATTATAGACAAGAAAAACAACATTTCGATCACATAAATATCATTTATAACTAAAAGCATTTAGTTATAAATAATAATCGTTATGCAACGATTTTTTCATATTGATTATAATTAAACTGCGAATTTTATGCATTGATGACAAAAATGAAAATGTGGAATACGAAATGACAAATACAGGAAATACGTTTAACAATATTGTTAAATTATTTTCAAGTTATTAAAAATGTTAAAAATGAAAATAAATTTTTATTTAACCCCGTTTGTTGTAATCAAGGTAGAGGATTTTTATTTTGATTATGGTCCCTGATTTATGCAAAAGATTGTTTCAAATGTAAAAAGGTATAAACTGCGAATAGTTGAAAACGCTCCGAAATTATTTTGGCACTTGCGAATTTCTTCTGCTCAGTTACATTTTTTGTGACATGATTTAGAATTAACTGTATGATGATGGTTTTACTTCGAATGCTATTCATACTATATCCTATCCAATAAACCAAATCAATGTAGATAACTAAAGCACAGCTTTTGTTAACTATTTAAAAAACTCTGCTCTGCTCAAATTATTATGTACATTTGTTTTAAGTTCATGAACAGGCCTTCTAAAGTACCATCTTTTGAACAATTTCTTTTTACGAACAAATTTCTTTTTACGAAAAAAAAGAACACTGCATGTAGCCAGCTCACATTTAATAGAAATCTTCACATTGTCAAAAAACATAGTTGATGAACAGCAGTATGAACACGCAAGTTTTTCATCTAAAATATCTCACTCACATCATATATCCAACAAATTCATTTTTTCAAATAATCCCTAAACTTTTTTACAAGACGAAACATTTACTGATATATGCTGTACGATTTTGGCTGTGACTCACTTGTATATTATACAAAATAGATAAGGGATAGAAAAAAATCAAATTTTATTGAAAATATTATATTTGCACATAATGTTTCAAAATTAGATTTTATAAAACAATAAATATAAACTCACTGTGGACATTAAAATTTTTATCTTCTATCCCTAAGTACTCAATGATGATCCTTTGTTTCCATTGTCTTGAAGTTTGAAGTATAAACAGTGATAACTATTTATGATCAGCTACTCAGGTTTCAGCATCACTCCTCGAAAATCAGATTCTACAATTGGAGTGCCTTTATTTCAATTTGTTCCTATTGATACATAATAAATACACTTGTCTATATAAATCTGGTATATATATTAATATACATATATTAATTCGTAGAATATTTTAACTGCTTATTTGTTTATTTCACTGCTTTTATAATTGTAAGAATATACTACATAAAGTT